ATTATTCCTTCTTGATCAATTTGCTGATGTTCTAAACTTGTTTTGGATCTTTTCCTTGCTTTTCGTGCTTCTATAGTGTTTTGCATTGCTCTCTTCTTAGCAGTATTTACACGTTTCATATCACTGCGAAGTTGAGATTTTATTGCATTTATACCTGGATGGATACCCATTTGCCTCATGACAGATAGCCTACCCCCTTTTTGCCCATGTTAAATAAAATTGCTGCTTCATATACAGCAATTTCTGCAATTCGTTTCCCAGATCCAGAAGTTTTCGGACACATCTGCCATATGAGGGAATTAAAAGATTCATTCGGATTCTGAGTGAAGCTACCAAGGCATCGTTTCAAAAGATCTGGACTTGATAAAGCTTTAAAAACAGGTTTTATAACATCCATGACTGAAGATGGCAAAGTCACTTTATGATGAAATTTACCCACTGAGCCATTTGAAACTGCTTGTTGATATTTACACCATGAGTCTGCACCAGCAGGACAAAATGTATGTAACGGTTCAGCATCAGTTGATCTCGTATGAAAATAAACTGCCCAAATACCCTTACGCATTTCATCAACTGACAAAGCATTTGAGCGAATTGCATTTCCATAATACTGAGTCAGCCTATTTATCATGGTGTCTGTCAGTCGTCCTTTGCCTGATAAAGGTTTACCGTCCTCCAGCTTTTTACATCTATAGTCTTGTTTTAGCTTTCTCAGTCGAGTTCCCATTCTTTTTTGTACGTGACCAACACATTCAAGTTTTGAAACAGTTTCATCATCATATGGTTTGCTGTCACGTATAGCAGGGAATGTTCTAGAATCACCATCACCAATATAATTAATATATTTGAGACCTCTTTCAGCTTCTGATCTGTGAAAAATTTTTATCATACCATCGACTTCCATTTTTCCTGAAGAACCGATATGATTTTTCTGACAATTTGGCAAATGTTTCATTTGCCACTCTTCGAAAGCTTTCCCAGATTTTTTTGCTTTCCATAGATCACATCCTTTACAAGTGGACGAGAGAACTTCAACATCTAAAACCTTCCCTGTTTCAGCACCTATTACAGAACATACTCCAATATGTGAAGTATGTCCTCTCGTTTTCCATGTTCCATCACCACTTACGGTGACAGAATTTGATGCAGTTTTGCATGCCTCTTCTTCTGCAGCAATTTTCATACTTTGAATGGCGACAGTTTTTGAAGCTGCATTTATATGTTTGCAGATTTTGTCATAAGCATTCTGTGTCACAGGTTTACCTAGATCCATTACACCACAAAATGTTTCCAGAGGTTCCAGACCTTGACCAATGCATGCATCGCATAGCATAAACAATTCGTCTGTTTAATTCAGGAACATTTTTGTGTTCACCAATCAACTTTGAATTATTGAATTCTGTTTTAAAAACTACACTTTTCACATTTCACAGAAATTGTTGAAAATAATCCAAAGGGTTTTCTCTCAGAAATATTGACAGAATTACAGCACAATTTGCACATTACATTCTCTTTCAAAAATGTAAACAATATGTCTTTATCTTATCCATAATTATATAGCCATGAAAACGATTCATAATGTCAGTATCACTTTCATTAAATAATGCATTGTTAAGCTTTTTCTCGGATGCACTTTTACATGTTCAATTTGAGTATTATGGTCATCACCTGATGAAACCAAGCTTTTATCAGAAAGTTCAGATCTGATATTCGTGTGTAGCGGTTGCCGTGGAAGCGACGTTTTTTTAGCTCGCTTCCCAGAAGCTCTTTTATTATTTGCCATCACAAATATAATATATAAATATACTTATTATTGCAGCAAAAAGACTAACGCATCAAAAAATTCAATATACACCAAATAAATGCTGCAAACGTCAATACAACTTTGCAGAATCAAACAACGTAGTAATAGCTTACGGAAACACGATGTAAACATTCAGAATAAGTATTAAGTTGAGTAGAATCATTGCTACTGATTGCTGACGAAATAAAAATAAGACTTGTAGGCTAGAATGTAGCAACACTCAGTTATATAACGGCTATGACAGCACAGCTGTGAGCAAATGACGTGTCCCTTTAAATGTTTATTTACATACGTGATGAAGGATTCTCGTGTCAGTGACCTTTACGTTTTTAATGATATCTCCTAAACTACACGGAATATTTTAACACGGTTTTTTTTAAAGTGCGCAGAAATGTTCAAACTAAAACATATATGTTTTTCAAAAAATCGATATTTTTGAAGATTTAAAGGTCGTGAGACCCCTTAAAGCAAAGAACGTAAGTGGGCTCTTTGATTCCGTTCAAGTTCATTGACTACAATGTCAAACAGAGCCTTATTCAAGAACGGTATTATATGACAATTTCGAAATTTTAGCTATTTATGGAAAGAGGAATTAGCGAATCCATTTCTAAGTAGAGTAAGTAGCGAATCTAAGTTTGGATTATACAGTTGATTCGTCTCTTTGGAAATGAAAATTTGTATCCTTAGCGGTCTTTGTTTTTGTTTGTTTGAATGTAAATACCATCTAAGTTCTGTTCTTCGAATGGGAGTTTTGCATTCTTTAGGTCCTCTGAAAGACACAGTATACTCTTTGCAAAAGTTATCGACTTTTTCCTTTGCAGTCATAGATATTTTTAAACGATTGGCTGCCATCTACGAGAAGATGATTTTTAGAATTTCCAATACACATTCTCGCGCGCTGGAGATGTATTTTTTTCCCCGTACAGTGTTGCCACTGCTCCATTTGAAGTAGTTCAGTTTTTAATCAAAAATTTGTTAAAGTTCTCAAAATACGAAAGAGACAATAAACCAAGTTAGAAATTTCAATTTCGGGCTTCCAGGTGCTCATATGTGGGTGGAGGGCTGCCTTTTCAAAACTTGATGCTCTAGGTAGCATTGTTTTTTCATAATGCGAGAAACATACACTGAAGTAAAAAAAGTCATGGGATAGCAATATGCGAATATACAGATGGCAGTAGTATCGCGTAGGAAGTGTATAAATGCGAAGTGCTTTGGCAGGGCTTTCATTTGTGTTCAAGTTATTCATGTGAAGAGGCTTTGACGTGATTGTGGCCGCACGACGAGAATGACTTTGAACGCGGAATGGTAGTTGGAGCTAGACGCATGGGTCATTCCATTTCGGATATCGTTAGGGAATTCAACATTCCGAGATCCACAGTGTCAAGAGTGTGCCGAGAGTATCTAATTTCAGACATAACATCCCACCATGGACAGCGCAGTGGCCGACCATCTGAACTTAACGACCGAGGCCAGCGACGTCTGCGTAGAGTTGTCAATGTTCACAGACAAGCAACACTGCGTCAAATAACCGCAGAAATCAATGTGTTAGCTCCGTGTATTTAGTGTACCGTAGTGTACCTTTTTGTGTTTTTAGTGTGCTTTATGTATTTCTTTATGTTTCTTTTTATATGTTTCCATTTATGTTTATGTCTTATTTTGTTCTACCTCTGTAACCATAACCTTCACGTTGTCTCACGTTCTTACAATGCACTACATGTAGTCTAGCCCTTGTATGGCCATGTTAACTTTTGTTTTTAAGATCCTAATAAACACCTTGGGCGGCCTCATGGGGCTCCAGGTAGTTGTTGCCTCTAGAAAGTGGAGCAAGCGGGACATATGCCTGTTACATATGTTGTTAGACACCAGGCGCCCCTGTCCTCCGTCACCTGCCCTGCCCTGTCACTGATCTGTTTTAGCCCCGACCTAAGGTTGTCGCTAGTAGATAGTAGATGGTTTTACCTCTGAGTAATATATTCCGTTTGGTGCCTTTAGGCTAACTTAGGTCGGAAGTTGTTCAGTAGGTCAGTGTTGTGACTCAAGGATGTCAACGTATGTTACAAAAGCAAAAACAGTTACCTTGTGGGGTCTTGGTTATGTCTTATTGTCAGATTCGAATAACTGCAGAAAATACAGTTCTTTACTAGCATTTCACATAGACCCATAAAGCATCCTCTTCCTCCTGATCCTGTAACCCACGACGCCTACGAATTGGCCGCTGCAGACTGACACATCAGTATCTTTTGAAAGGAGGTAATGAGCCTATTTGTGGCACTTACAACGCTTCCATTTCAGTCAATCGCATTTTAACCTGCTGTCCTGCTTTTAGACATAAACGTAAATATAATTTTAACTATACGAATATTAACTGAAGAAACTCTCACATCGACCTGATGAGTTTTCTAAAAGACATATCTTTTAACTGTATGATTTGTATGATTTGTTTTGTAAGTTTTTTCCTCTTATCCTGCTCTACCTGTTACTAGAGCATTTCTTAAAGTTATTTCTCCATGCCTTTATCAGCATTACAGGTTCATTTCAACAATTTATCTGATGCAGTGTGTTTGTACATTTTGGATTTTATTCATCATTCGTCTGGAGCATAATAACCTTCAAGATTTTGTGCTATTAAACGTCAAACAACCAACCAACTTGTAACCCGGGACGCCATAAAAATTACGAAAATTATGAATAAAAAATTTCACCTGACGCTTAATCTGGTTCCATATGCCTCCATATGCCTGGCACGCAACAAAACAATTGTTGTCATAACACTGGGGAAAGCGAGTCGGTCTACCAGAGAACTGGTAATAGCGCTGATATTTTGTGTCAATCAAAAATGCATCCTATTCTACACTACAAACGAAGTAGTTACAAATTTGCTTCCGAAATACTATAAATGTTTTAATACAACAAAACTCATTGCAAGATCTAAAGCCTATCTCCCCGAATAAGATGCAGAGAACAATTAGTTTGAGTCTTAATTATCAAGAGTCTAAATCATCAAATACAGACTGGTATTAATTCTTGAAATTGAAGTTTGCTAATTTCTGGCTTGATGTTTTTGAATTACATACCTTAAGTCGTTCACTGTTAAACAACTGTTCACTTCTTTTAATTTTCGAAAATCAGAATGGAGACAAATTATTCGCGTTTAATTCTCTGGATAGCTCTTTGTTATGTACAAGGGTTAAAGACAATGACAAGTCTTTCAAGCGAGAGTAGTATTCAAGGCTTAGTTTCCGAGATTTTAAAACCTGAAGTGTTCAGGCATGCGAAAGATTCGAAATCATTCCAAATAAAGGCAGCTGATTTAGAAATGGATCCAACTCTAGAGAGTTGTAAATATTTCTATCTATTAAGTTAATGAAGTCACTCGACCGAATAAATGATAATGAATCAATTTGCATGTAAATAAAGCATATGGAGAGAAGAATTAGAAGGAAGAAGGAGAGCTAGAAATTTATTTCAGCTCACTATTAACTTAACTACCTAATCATAGCTTAGGCATTCTTATATATACATATGAGATCAATGAAAAAAAATGCTAACTAAAAGCATGAATGGACAGAAAATCTTTCCAGCTTCTGTGAAGGAATTTAATATTAATTTACATATAGTAAACAAAACTGTATTTTTTATAGATCGTAATATGTATGAAAATTTGACCGTTTGAATAATTATATCCTTTGAGGCAAAGAAAAAAAATCTGCACTGTAAAAAAATTCTGCAAGTTAAAAAAAAATCTGTAATACTTAAAAATTTATCAAAACCGGAACACAATGGATTCTATAAGTAACAGAAACATGCTTTTTCTTAGTAACAATACAGGGAACCTGTAAGGGTTACAGAGGTATTATTTGTAAGGTTCCTAAGAATAGCTATGTATTTTGATTGGTTTGGTTTATGTGGTTACGGAAAAGCCTCGAGAGCTAACTGTCTAAGGGAAGGGATGCCTTCGTAGGGGACTTTCTAAGGGTATACACGCTACACATGGAGAAAAACATGAAAACGCCCATGTAGCCAGCCCGTTCGCGGGAACTTCGAACGAAATACCGTTGTTAAGCGACTTTAGCGCTCTTCCGCTGGTGGACCGTTATGTATGTAGATCATACATAAATATTCTTAATAAAATTATATTCTTGGTAAAATTTTCCCTATTATACATAAATCATCAGTAGCTTGCACGGAATTTGTAATCTAAAAATGCTCTATCTTGTAGAAAGCAAAAATCCTTCTGTATATAAATTTGAAAAGCAAAGTTCCTTGAAATTGTTTCTGATACAATTACGAATTATATAAGCCTTACTTCCTCTACTTTATTTGAGCATTTATTAATAATTTTTTATTAACAAACTCAATGATTTCAAAGCGAGCAAAGGCAATACTGTACGGGAAAAACATTTTTATATCCATCGCCTTTAAATTTATTTAAAGGCGATGGATATAAAAATGCCTTTTAAATATTTTTTTTAGCCTTAAGGAACATTAGCCCAAATGCTCTCGAAACATCTAAATGTATGTAAGTGATGACAACGTTCCTTTGGACGCAATATAAAACATAAAAATGCTTTCATATTTTGTTTACTTATGTATATTTTATTCATTTATTTATTTTATTTCGTTTTCTATTTTATTTATTTATTTACTGATTTATTTTTTTAGTTTTATTGTTAAGCGTCGTTTTCTTCGCACTTGTACCATATAAGATCCAAGAACAAAATCACAAAAATTTTAATAGCAGCATATGTTTAGAATGCTGTTTAGTTCTGATATGATCATGCAAAAAGAACGTGTATTTATTTGCATTGTAAGGTATATTTTAATTTTATAACAGTTATTTTAATTTAAATAACATTTCCTATCCATTCTTGTTTCCCACTTACAACTCACTACGAGAATGAGCTTTTGGAATCGCGATGAATGTAAATGAGAAGTAGGATTCAAGGAAGGTTCAACCTCACTTCGAGAGAGAGAGAGCTAGGAATGTCGAGTAGCTTGTGTTTGGCTTCGGGCTAAGTCTCTCTAGAACAGGTCTGTTCATATGCCCCTAGAACATATCAATAGGCCGTATATTACGTGCCTGTTGATATTCACCGGTTAGTTTAAATTAAGGGCCAACTACGTTAGATTTTTGTTAGCTTCGGTTAAGTCTTTTTTATTTAGTTCTAATTCAGTTATTATTTGTTATTTTCAGTTCAAGCCCTACTGGAGGCTTTGGTGTAAGCCCGAAAAAGAGGCCAACTGTTCATCTTATTTTGAGCAAAATAAATGGTATTTAACCTTTATTGAGTCTACGGCCTAGATGTTTGAACTCAGCCATGTCGCTAACAAGTTCATTAGGTTCCTCAACGTTCATTTTAGTACAAAACGAGTGAGTACAAAACTCTACAGCATGAACTCTACAGTTTAGTACAAAACTCTACAGCATGAACGTGTGGACGCACACGTGCAGTGCGTTTCAATAGTCGATCTAATACACCCCCATGCAAAACCTCGCATTAACTGTTTTTTCCACAGGAACGAATTTCTGGTGAATCAATCTTCCGGAGTGAAGAAAACCACTAAATTTCCTTCACCATGGACACACATATTTTGGAGACACACTTTCTTTGGCTTGGGACAGTTTTGGCCAACCCACCCTGGACTCTGTATCTTCGTTTCTTAATTGTAGGCAAAGCATTATGATTCATCACCTGTGATGATTCTTTTTTAAGTCTGCATCGCGATTTCGCAAATCAAGAAGATCCGGACAAGCCACAACTCGATCATCGTTTTGTTCTGCTGTTAGTGAATACAAAACAAATGTGCTTACAATTTTCGTTTTCCTAATTATTGCATGGAAATTTTCTTGATCAATGTGTAAATGTTCTGCAAGCATTCTAATCTTTAATTTAAAGTCATGATTTACGCAGCACGGACAGCTTCGATATTTGTCCCACATCGTCTTATGCGAAGACATCCCCTTTCTTTCATCATCTTTTACGTCATTTCTACCATCTTGAAATTCATCAAACCACAAAAGAATATAAAAATGTGACAAACACTCTTCACAGTAAGAGTCTGAATCATATTTTCTAAGTTTCATTAGCCGTTTTGCCACTTTTAAAATAAAACTTCATCGCACATCTCTGTTCCAAATATGATTCCATTACAAGCATAAATAAATATTTGAAACACCAAATATAATTTTTCCTTAACAACTCATTTCATTCTAATGCGATTAGCAGACTAAAATCAAAATCTTCTTCCCTACATAATTCCTTAATTACAAATAGATAGCACTAATAAACAGTTAATATTCAATCAATCTTCAAATGTTTAAACCAAACATAATATAAATTCCAGGTTGGCCGCAAATCTAAATTTATACATAATTCACAATATATAAAGATAAAATTACTATAAAGCTTACATTAATTAAATAAAGAAGGGAAATGACAGAAATGAAAGAGAAAATAACAGAAAATTTACGAGATTTCTCTTAATGCCCATATTATACCTTAAGAATGTCTTAAGCATTCTTCCTTGTATTTTTATTTTGTAAAAGCCTGCATATTACTGCTACATTTGTTCTCTGTTAGAACAAATGGTGCTTAACTACAAAGTTTACAGATTCAAATGAATGATCATTACTTTGAAAAGGGAAATGTTCCAATTTCCTGTCAATTTGATTTCTGTTTTAATACTTCTCATTTATTGTAGCTGTATTAAATATTTTAAAATAAATCGTTTTAATTAACTATTTTATTAAATAATTTTATTAAATAATTTATTATCAAATATCATCATCAAAAGAGTTTTCTCTCCAAAGATTAACTTCCATTTACTTTCTAATAGTCTGTGATATTTTTAATGCTCTTTAAAGTTTTGTAACTACCTCGAATTACATAGCCATCTCTCAAAGTACTTAGAGTAGAAATCCTATTCTAAAGCAATTCTATTCTATATAGAATAGAAAGAGAAAACTTCTTTTGCAAACCATTCTCCTTGCAAAATGCGAGAGGTTTCTAAACAAATACTTTTCGAGTGTATGATTATTTGATTACTGAAAGTATTTCTCTTCTGATTTCCATTCTGGAATGGAAGAAACCAAGTAAAATTTCTTTCGACTATTCTAAGAATCTAAGATTATTTACCAAAGCTGTGCATTCTCCGATAATACAGATTGTGCTCTAAAATGCAGATCATCCTACTTATGCTGCCACTGAAAGCTAGAATCTTTATTCAGTTCCTGAAAATCAGAAAAATATACACCTACCACAAATCTTTGAAAACGATTAAATAAAACATGAACACTGGAGAATTTTGTATCGGTACAGTCAGAGAATAATGCATACTTTTTCTCTAAGATAAATAAAATATATCATTTAAATGCCAGCGTTAACATTTTGAGTTATTACTTTTATTTAATAATTATTTTTAATAATTATGTATTCAAAATTAAGTTTTAATCATGATTATGATTGAAACTTAAATCATTATTTATATACTTATTTGATAATTATTTTAAAGCATTATTTTTCATAACCACAGTTTCTTTCCGAATGTTTAAGAAAGATGAAACCCACAATCTAAATTAAAATAAAATATACTCCAAGCAGCTTCAGTTTCTCCTCTGCTCCTAAGACGGACCGATATAATGATAATGATGTTTCTTTTCAAACTTCGATTCATTGTCCTTTTCGAACAGAATAGAAAAGAAAATGCTAGCTAATTAGGCACAAACGAAAGTTTTGCCTGTTTTAGAAATTAACAAAATGTAACAAATAAACGAAATAATGCTTATTGATTAACGTGGATAATATTTTAACACAAAGAGTTCAAAAAATGAAGAATAATATTTTATATTTATATGCACTTTAAATTGTTTATTAATAATGACAAAATGCAATTCGATTAGTATAACCCAAACCAGTTGCAGCATACAGACGTCTTCATAATTTTGATAATCTACTGGCATTTTCTTTCGATTCTTAATTAATTCAGCATTTTCTAATCAAGAAAAATTTTCTAAACTATAAAGAGCAAACAGTAACAGAAGAGTAAACAAATATAGCAAAGGTGACTTTTAGAAGATTTCTATTCTTGCTTACAGTTTATTTTACCTTGCGCAACGTTTATAATTATTCAAGTTTATAAGCCTTTATTTGAAAAAAAAAAAAAAAATATGAGCTACTGTATTTCCTCGAGTATTTTCCTCTTTATTTTACGAATTTTGTTGCTAGAAAATAGAGAGGGGAAAATTGTGTCTTTAATTTAATTTACAAAAGACGATATTATAGTAAAAACATAATAAAATGAAAGCATTCAAAGTATAAATTACAGGTAACTGTCATAA